GAAGAAAGAGATGCAGGGACAGAGGCTAATTCACAGTAAAGAGAATTTATTGTAAAGCTAATTAAACTTAAGTTCAGAGCCCTTCATCTGCATATTCCCCTTCCAAGCCCTATACCTTATTTTGTAGTCACAATTTTGTATTCTTTTTTCCATTAGGAAGGTCCCTCACAACCTGATCTGCTCCTATACAGAGAGGTTTAATAATTAACATAGGACTGGTTTTTTTTGCTTGCTTTTTTGGGGGTTGTTTTGTTTTTAAAGATTTTATTTTTCCTTTTTCTCCCAAAGACCCCCAGTACATCGTTGCGTATTTTTAGTTGTGGGTCCTTCCAGCTGTGGCATGTGGGACACCACCTCAGCATAGTCTGATGAGCAGTGCTATGTCCGCGCCCAGGATTTGAACTGGCGAAACCCCGGGCCGCCGAAGCAGAGCGCACGAACTTAACCACTCGGCCACCGCACCAGCCCTAGGACTGGTTTTGATTTGATCTGGAAAATATATAGTCATACAAGAAAATGGAAAAATAGTATTCATTATTTTTCCCCAGAAGAATCCTAACTGGTATCACTGTCTTGGAGTCTTTCACCACTGTATTCCAAACGACACACCACTAGCACCACAAACAGTCATAGAATACCACTTTCACTGTGGTACTTCTGAATTTGAATGACTCCTCAATATCCAACAGATCAAATTTCAACTTCTCAGTCTGGTTTTCAACCTCACCATCACGCAGACACATATACACATTTTTAAGTATTTAAATAAGTAATCTTATCTCCAACTATTCACATAACATTTATTTTATTCTTTTTCTCCATCAAACTTTCCTTTAGCCTTGTTTCTGATTTGCCAAACTCTCAGCTAAAACTTTCCTATGTTCTACTATTGTTCACACTGTTTTTTTTAAATCATATATTTTGGCCCCTGATCTTTCAACATTTTCAAACTTTATGGAATGTCATATTCCCCCCTCCCCAATAAGCTATAAATCTCTCAGAAAGAGACTAAATTTCAGTTACTTTATACTCTGACCTGGCGCAGTGCCTGGTACATAGCACTCACTAAATACTTTGCACAGGTGAATATTCTAGGCCTACATTTACAAATGCAAACCTCTCCTTCACCTAAATTCAAACAGGATTTTATCTGTGTCTTTCTTATGACACGGGTTGCATTCTTCAATCTAAGTTATAAAAATAAACCTCCTCTAATTAAAACAAAAAGTCTTCTTACACTGCATGTATAGTGCTGTATTTCAGATCTATAGTTGATCCCATTCTGAATAGCATATCGAGGCCCAAAGACTGGTCACATCTTTATCTTCTCCTTTCTCTCTTCTCTTCCTACCACCTTCATGTCTGAGGTGGCTATGAATTTGGTGAAACAAGTCATCAATCACCAAATACTGAAAATAAAAGAGAATCTTTTCCAAATTAAAAAGATCAGTGCTTATACCTGTCCTCTTTCAAATTTACACCTCAATGTGACTAGGAAAACACAGGGTCTCAGTGCTGACGTAAAAGTACAAAACAAAGATTAGAGTTCTAGGTCAATGATTCCCAGACAACTAAAAAAAAAAAAATTATTTAATTGGTAAGACTGACAAATGATTCATATTTTTAATTTTGTCAAGAAAGGACTTGGGACCAGCCCGTGGCCGAGTGGTTAAGTTCGCGTCCTCTGCTTAGGTGGCCCAGCGTTTCACTGGTTCAGATCCCGGGCGTGGACATGGCACCGCTCATCAGGTCACACTGAGGTGGCGTCCCACATGCCCAACTAAAATATGTACTGGGGGGATTTGGGAAGAAAAAGCAGGGGGAGAAAAAAAGAAAGGACTTAAAATGGGAGGGGCATTTTAAGTCAAAAAAAGAATATAATTTTAGGAAAAAAAGAAAGAACCCATTAAATTGAAAATCTGACATTATGGCTGATTAGCAAGTTTCAGGGACAGTAGACTGGGAACTGCTATCATAGATATGTCAATTAGTTTCAGCTTAGACCAAATCTCTTTACCCTAAATGAGACTTTGTTTGAAATGAAATGTTATATCTTCAAAGACGTCCACAAAGCATAACACTAAAGCCAAACCAAGTAATTTAAAAATCAAAATAAGGAAAGCTTATTTCTTCCCTAGCCACCAGTCCCTTCCCTCACAAAAAAAAATCTTACATGTGACTGGTAGACTCCCCAAACAGAAGAGCAGCAAAAAGTTAAATGCCAAGTTTCTTTTATGCCAAGAAAACTTGCAAAGACCTTTGCAATTGTAAAGACGCTCCTATCAAATGATTCCGCAATTAAACTGTATATCAGGTCCCTATAATACACAACAAGAATACCCTGGTTTGATTTAGTGTATACAATCAGGTTGCTACAACCAAAATATAAACTTGCTGTAGCCTGCTTCATTCATTTCCTTGGAAAAAAGGTATAAAGCCTCTTTGCAAGTGTTTTCCTGTCTTAATGCAGACCAATCTACTGTCTGCCAAATAATCCTTTCAGGTTCTTTAATACTGCCCTCCCAACCCATCTCTTCTAAGAAGCCTTGGTAAAAACTAGGTCTCCAATTTGATAATTATTTATCTCACTTCCTTTTCAGCTTTTAAGAACCTGTGTTTCATTGTTTCTCTGTAGCGCTTGTTCTGTGCAACACTGTTATCCTTCAAGGTTTAAGGTAATTTCTCTGTTCTCTAAATATCCATAGCCCTCTACATGTGCCACTTTCACAATACTCGTATTTCTACATTGCATAGCACAGCATAGCCATTAAGCATATGGTTCTCAAATAACTGTCATTGATTAGCTGGGTGACCTTGGGCAAGCCACTTAACATTAACAGTGCCTCAGTTTCCCTATCAGTAAAATGAGGATAACATTTGTACATACCTCATAGGGTTCTTCTTAAGAGTAAATGAGCTAATATACAAAAAGTTCTTAGAACAGCACTTGTTATATATTAAGTACCATTTAACTATCTAGTCTTAAAATCATTCACCTAATTCAAATCTCACCATTCTACCATAAATTCTTTTTGTGGTCCAAAGTTTTATCTTTTTCTCTTTTGAATCCCACTATACAGCTTGACAATGCCCTAAACAGGGAGGCAAGTAAAAACGTATTTGTTGAATTAATTAATGCCGAATTCTCTGATGGAGCAGCTCTGAGAGAGCTTTGTAAATGTTCTCTAGTTACTCGTCTATATTTTAAGTTCCTAACAGTTCTCAAAATTTTCAAACAAAAACTAATCCTACAACAGAGGGAAATAAACAAGTACTCAAGGATGGTCTGAGACAAGGATTAAACTTCTACTCTATAGCAGCTCCAATCAACTGCTAGTGATTACTAAGCACTGTCTCAGATTCTGAGGCCCTTACGGCCTCATGGTCAGAGCGCCATGATCAACTAATCTTGTCTACCTTTGTTTGCTGGGATAGTACAAAGTGGACACACTCATTTTTTCATTACCAATCTGGAGTTTGACCCTAACGAGCCCAACCTCCTCAAGAAAATTTATTTAAAATTCCATATTTTCTCTTACAACTTCACACAAGTTTTGCCTTTTACTCTATAACATATCCATGTTTACTTAAATTAAAAAATATATTTTCCTCCGATCTGTGAATAAAACTGATGCTCCAGGGAGATGTGTCACGTTTCTTCTGTGGTTTCTTAACCCCCTGGTACCTAATATCGCCAGGTGCAGCACTACCTCATTTTGAGAAACACAATCCTAGACTACACGTTTCCTGAAGTACATTACTTTTGCATCCTCCCACTAGCAACCAAAATACTACTCCCTGAATAACCAGAAGATATATGACAGAATAACAATAGCACCTATATTTTAATACTGCTTAAGCATTTGTAAGATGATTTTGTATCTCATTTAATATTCACATTTTAAAGAATTCAAAAACATCAAATTATAATCATGTATCAACTAAATTGTGTGACGTTTGTAAGTGAGTTTTCACTTTTCTCCAAAGTGGAAGCATGATGCTAGAACATTAGCTAGGAATAAATCAGATAAACTTCTAAAATACGATGCTAACATATCTTCAACAGGATAAATGCTATTGCTAAAATTATCAGACATCGTTACAATACTTGAACACAAAAGCTGTCTTTCCTCTTATAAAATTCCTAATAATTTAAATGTGTTATATTCTAACCATATCATCACTGTCCTGGGTCTACTTGTGACAAAAATTGTATTTAATGGCTTAATGTTTCAATCAAAACAATTCTTTTCGTCAGGGAATTTGATCAAACGAAATTACAGGCCCACATGATTTCCATCCTAGTGGACTTGAAGGTCAACAGCAGTGAACAGGTTACATAAAGCTAAATTGTCAACTCATCCTCCTTTATGTGATTAATTCTAAATACAAAACAAATTGTAAATTCTCTTGCAAGTTAAAGCAAAAAACGCTTCACTTTCCCTCCCTTGCAAAAACAAACTAAATTGGATTTATGGTGGATACGAGCCCCCACCAATGGATTTAAGGGCAGCAGGGAATGGCCTCTTCCATAACGCCTTACAAATTTGTGCAAAGACGATATATTGACGCAAAGAAATCCCTTCGAAAAGGGAGAAGCAGGGGCGAGAAGAGGGCTCAGCTGCTCAGAGGTCTCATTAGAGGAGGAGGACCCGGGAGGCGGGGGAGGGAGAGCAGAGAACCTCACCCACGGCGGGCCCCACATGTGAAGCTTTTGGAAAGACAGTGGGGGAAAAGCTGAGCTGCTTTCGGTTTAAGAGCAGAGACATGGTGCTAGGGTCCTCCCGCTTGGGGAAGATTAAAAGACCTCTCCTAGCAAGTTGCCCCCAGGCAAGGCTGTGCCCTCCCCTCCGAGGCCTAGGAAAGAGGCGCCATGACGGGAATGTACGTCCAGGGACGCAAGGCTACAGTCTCAAGCTCCAGCAGCACGACTCACCGGGAGCCCCGACCCAGTTCATCTCCCCAAAACTTCTGAGAAGACACTGGGGTTCTGACAGCTGCACTTCAGACGGCTCCGTGCAGGGCTAAGCCACAGCTTCCTCGGTTTCAGCCCGCTCCTCTCCGGCCCACGGGCCTATAGCCCAGCCTCCCTACAGCCTTTGCGGCCTGGTTAGGCTCCTTCCGGCTCTCCCGGCAGCCTCTGCGGTTTCTGCGGCGACGCTGTCCTGATAGGGCCGCAGGGGACGCCGTGGGAAAGCAGCGCGTCCGAAGGAGGAAGAACACAGCAGTTTCAACCGGTCGGGCGAAGGAACCCTCAAGAAATCAAGTGTCGGGCTGTGGCCGCAGGGTTAGTGTTTCAAACCACCCCCACCATAGTTTTATTTACTTTGCTGTAGGTCTCAGCCTTTTTTTTTTTAGGTCAAAGAACAAGACTGAGGGGAGAAAAA